CCCCAAAACCCCAAAACCCCAAAACCCCAAAACCCCAAATCTGGAAGGTACGGCTGAAATAATATAATAAACATGTTTTCAAAAATAATGGCGAGGCAGATTCCTAAATTTCTGCCAAAATGGGCCCACATGTGCCCTCGGAGAAGCCAGTCATTAGTGTATGCAAGAATAGCCAACTTTGGGATTCTTGAGGATAAATACAAGGAAATTCGAGAAAAAGCTTTTGACAGGATTGACACATCCAAAGGAGATATTAACAAGAAACAGGAGGAATCCAAGGACCAACTCAAGAGGTTTGATCTCTTCTCAAGCCCTATTTCTGGTAAGTTCCAAGTTGGAGCTCTGAAGTCTGATGAGCTTTATAGAGAAAAACTTAGGCCAAGAGGGATACAGCATTAATGCAATGACTCTCGATCAAATCATTCAGAGGTTGAGAATTGCTTTAGAACAGAAATCTGAGCCATATGTGTACTATCTCATACTGGAAAGAATGCAGGATATCGTCATAAATGAGCCTACAACAACTGGGAAGAATGAGATCTTAAAAATACTAAGGGCATTAAATTATTATAGACCTAAAGATGAAGAACGGATTGAGAGACAAGCAAGAAATATCGGATATGTCTCAGAGAATAAGGATCCTTTATCTAAAGCACATCTAAGAGTAATAAAGCAGCAGTCATTGGTCGCTACATCTCCCATAGGTCATGCATTTGATCATGTGAATGATAATATACGAGGGACTTATCTCAGATCACTGGTGACTGATTTCGTAAAAACAGAGGAAGAGACTATGAGGAAGGATATTTACGATGTTCTTGAAATTTATAAAACACTCTTTCGTAATCTGGAGTTAGTTATTCATGAAGAGCTTAACCGGAATAATGTCTCTATTCGAGAAACTCTGGATATCTTATGAGCATTTTCTATATCAGGAGAGGCATCAAATGTGCTGCTTGAGAGGATATTCGAGATGATCTACCCAAATTTATACCAAGGAAAGTTTAACAAGCATGATTTAGAACTGATAATAAACCATTTCCCTCAAGATTTCTGGGAAAACTCCTTTGAGCATTCATCTAAAATGAATAGCTTCAATGGAATGATAGCAGAGAAATTAGAAGAAGAGGTTGAGGGTTCATCAAACAGGGAATTACTTTCATTTTTCCAGGCTTTCTCAAATTTAAAGAATTTCCCTAAAGCACTTCTGAATAAGCTCCTTAACAGATTTGTAAAGATGATAGAGCATAATCAAATGACTAAGCAGGAATTAATGAATTTTCTAGAAATATATGCGATCATGCTACAGACTGACCCACTCAAGGCAAAAGAGCTAGATTCTGAACTTCTTTTCGCCATTGTTTCCAAGAATATTGAAGACAATTTTCTCAAGAAAAAATTTAAATTTTCTTTACAAGAAATAGCAGTACTTTATTGGATATATGCAACTTGTGAGATATATCCCGGAACTTCTGAGGGAGCAGTAAAGTCATTGGAAAATATACTTAACCCTATGCTAGATCTCTTTATTGAGAAATATAAGCATCTTTCTGAAGAAGAGAAGTATGATGGGATCAAACAAGAAATGGATTTAAATGACAAAGATGCAGATTTGATCATATTTTATTATAAAAAGTGCCAAGAGAATGGAATAGGGGAGAATGCATCAACTATAATAAAAACAATAGAATCTATCAAGAAGAAGTATGATGATCGCCCAGAGAACGAGCGGAAATGGTTTGTATTCTAAAATTTCAATCCCCTTAGATTCTCAAGGGGTTTTGGGGTTTTGGGGTTTTGGGGTTTTGGGG